TGGACTGTATGCTTGTGCTACAATTTGTTGGGCCACTGGAGCATATAGGATATGGAGGATCGGCCTTTACTGATCTGGAGTCTGGACTCTGGATCCCAATACTCATCCCATGGGCAGTATTTTGGAGATTATTTTGAGTTTTGTGCACTTGTCTGGGATATTAAGTTAGGGGATTCTATTCACAGCCACCCTTTTATTAAATACACTCACATATTTTCCATAATGCCTATTATATCCTTAATAATACCCAACTTAATTCAGAGTCTCTGTAGGAAAATCACGTTCGTCTATTCTGTGTATTGCAAAGAAGGAAACGAACGACAATCGATGTCATCGTACAAAATCGAAACGGTGGGGATATGGGAGAAGTAGTGTCTCGACTGAAGAATGCATTAATGAAAAGTCCGTAAAATCTCCTAAAATGTTTGGTGGAATAGAACGGCATACTTCCAGATTAAATGTTAGCCAAAATGTTACATCTAGCTTCATCACACTCTAATTAAAAATGAAATGAATTTTGGAATACCCTCACTCGATTGACACGTATAAAGATCTGATCTCAATTCCATAAAACTGATCATTGATGCAGAAGCAAATCAAAACCTCGTTTATTCACATTAGTTTCAAATAAGTTAAAAATTATAATAGAGAAAACAGTCACTGACATCGATCGAAATCATAAAAACAGATGGCCTAAGATTTGAGTGTTTGAAATCTAACGAGTTTTAGAGCTTTAATTTGAGAGTTTCGGCCATGGCCATGGAAATCTAAAGACTCGATCCAAGTAAAATCGAATCATGTTAGAAATCTCCATTGTAAAAGGAGATTTGACCGCACAAAGGAAACGTGATATGCCTAGGAGAAGTTGTATTAAGTTGGGTATTATTATTAGGGATATAATAGGAACTATGAAATAATGTGGTTGTATTTAGTAAAACGTTGGCTGTGAGTTGGGATTTATTTTATGAGACCATTTTAAAATCTCTCTCCCATGCCCCCTGTCAATGAGTGGGGGTGGGTGTAGACCTGCACAAAAGCAGGTTCGGGCCGGGCTCGGGCCGGGCTTTCCATAAGTTTTCTGCCCATCGCGTGTGGGCGGGCCCGGCCCGCAAAAACGGGCCTAACCCCATGTCCATACCCGCCCGTAAGAGCGGGCCGGGTAGTCCACAGGGCTGTCGGGCCCGGTAAAACTTTAAAATTTTCAAAATTATATAATTTATTTAACACTATAAATAATATTACAACATTTAAAAAATTGCTAATACACTTATAATGTATATAGGCCTTTCATCACAGACACAAAAAATATTTACACAAAAATAATAATGAGAAACTATATCTAAAATTTAAAATTCAAGCACAAAGTATTATCTTTAAGTACAAAAATAGATATTATATTGGTTGGACTATTTGTTAAGAACTAAAAACTTAAATTTAAACATAATAAACTATATATATGTATACAGATTAATTAGTAAATATGAAAATATACAAGTGTACATGTAAATAAATACGTAAATTAGTATATATAAAAATATATATGTATATATACTAAATGTAGCGGGCCGGGCTTATTGGCCCGAACGGGCCTACACCTTAACCCAAGCCCGCCCATATGTTGTTGCGGGCCGGGGCCGGGCCGGGCCGGTGGGTAAATATATACGCCCAAGCCTGCTAATGTGTGTGGGCGGGCCGGGCGGGCCGGCCCGGTTTTGTACAGGTCTAGGTGGGTGGGAGGCGGCAGATACTATCTTAGGTTAGCTAGTTAGTTTAGATAGTTTTCTTGACAAGTTTACTTGTTAACTTTTTCCGGATGTTTTATACACTTACATTTCATCCAAAGAAGACGGAGAATGCCCGTGGTGAAACTCCCTTTCACAAAAATGCTGATCGAAGTCCCCAAATAATGTGCTCATCCCATGGAGTTGCTCCTCCATACGAGTCTGTCTAGCCTCATATGCCTCCATCAGAGTATGAGTATGCATCATATCTTGTCGAGCCTCAAAAGTGTCCATGGACTGACTGAGGTAGTCCATGCTCTGCGACATGATCCTCGGTGGACGACGTGCATTGTTTGGAGGGGCATGACCCGAGGACCCAGGAATGTCCTCCGGGGTGGAGTTCCACCTCTTGCCTCCTCTTCATCTACTAGCTCCCGGAAGTTTTTAGGACTCATCTGCCTCCCACCATCTTGAAATGTAAAGCCAACATCATTGTATCATCAAAGACATTTGTAGAAATTGTGTATAGAATTTCTTCATTTGACAAATCAACTTCAAATCTCCTAAAGACCATTGTTATTTAAGAATCTGTCTAATATATATTTAGGAATTTGCCTAATATCTATTTAGGAATACTTTGTATTTTGGCAACTCTTCTATTATAAATATATCTGCCAGGACTCCTATTGGAATATTATTTCCCATTATTTTCTCACTCATGTGTTTGATGATGAGCCTACTCAATGGAATGCCTTAAATCTTCTCTAGGCCATGAACCATCTTTAGAGTAGGTAGAGTCCACTCTCCGTTGCACATGAGTGTCCCTAGCCCGAGGTAGGATGTTGAAGCCAATGAGATAGAGAATGAGTCTCTCCTGGATGTTTAGGATGTGTGCCTTGAAATCTTCTGAGAGGCTAAAGAACAGTCTCGCCTCTATCCCATCACAGACCCAATCACTTAACACATGTGAGTTCACTTCAAAAGGACTCCCTACTTCAAGTGTGATCTTCCTCTCCTTGAATGTAGTGACAATATCCCCAAAGGTGTTATCCTTGTTGTCATGTTGGTGTAGAATGCTCTCACTAATAAATACTCTCATTGTCATTTAAAAAAAAATATCTAACTTTCCTTTTATAGATGTCCCTAAATAACGTCCTCTTTCCCGATGGTGTTGATAGTTTGTCAAACAAGTTCTTATATAAAATTAACACAAAAAATACGTATGAAATATTCAAATAAAAAAACCTCTAGAAATGAGATATCATAGCGGACAGCCGGACACAGCATTTGGCGTTTTTCTACAGCAACATGAAAAGCTGAAAGGTTACTTAGCTTGCGGTGCTCCAAAATTAGTAGTTAGAATCTTGTTTTATTAGGAGATAGTTGAAACAACTGATGTATTGCATTCATGTATTCTTTTTTTAAAATACTCTTAGTTTTGTATAATGAAAGATTAGATATTTTAGTTTTAAAATTTACTGTTTTGTTATTTCTCAACAATGAAGATTGAAGGGAAGCATGTTTAGATAGGTGGGGTGCCTGAACTTATTGAGTTTAACTTCCTTGATTAAAATATGATCTTTCCGTTTGAAATGTTAAAAACTTAAGTTCAAATAAAAAGACAACATCCGAATTCCGGAATTCCCATCAAATCTCCTATATTATTTATAAAATTTTATCAAATTTGACTTCAACAACATACTCCGTGCATAATTTTAGCAAGTCGAACTTGCAAGTTGTAATGCATCACTTGAATCATCACAAAAATAAAGCCTCATTTTCTTGTTTGGTAAACAATTTATATCGATTTACTCTACCACCCTTAAATAATAATGACACAATAGTGCAAAATTGTATTAAATAGTGTCAGACAGTACCAAAATAATGTAATTTACAGTAAAATTTTCTCCTCGATATGAAAGGTCTTTCATGAAGTCGAAAAAAAAATTATTTTCTTAATATGTGTGCAAGTCAAATCGGAACTTTTATACTCCATATTAATCCTACTTCATGAGTTCGTAAATATATGAACAACCACAATATGAATTAATGACTTAGTTACATTTAATTTGTTTTGCTCGTTTAAGGTAACAACCACAAAAATACTGATATCATTACACATTGGTTGAACGGATAAATGTAAAAAATGGACAAACCCAAAACCTATCATCTCATTTGTGTCACTTGTGTAACATAGAGAGTAGACACCCACAATACTTCTTGTTATTATTGTAGTACCAGAGTGTATGTGCTCACATCTTCTAAATTATGCAGGAAACAATATTGAATTAGCTTTTGAAATTTTGATAGCCCTGTTAAGCAGGTTCCAAGATAAGATGGCATAAAAAGATATGCTTAAATATGTAAATAAAAATGAGACCAGTTAGAAACAAAATTACAATAGTCATTTTAATGTTTTTTTTGAACAAAAATACAAGCTGAAAGATAATAGTCCTTGTAGAAAAGATCTTCGTAAAAAAGTTTACTGCTGGCAAATGACATGAAATCAACTAATATAGAACTGGCACAAATTGCAACCGGGTAGCCCACGAACTCGCACAAATTGCAAGGAGACATGACACAACAGTGGTTCTACGACTTGAGGCACCATATGAGATTAACGATTTGCTAAAAGATGATTGTAACTCTGATTTATTCTATCAATAAAATTTCTTTTCCTCACAAAAAAAGGAGTACTTTACTTATATAAGCTTGTTTGCAACTTTACATAGAGAGAAACTAGTGAACATACAATACAAATCACGCATAAATAGACTCATCTGATAATTTATCTTAATTACATTTAATATGTTTTGCTCTTATATTTAATATAGTTTGCTCTTATACATGACATGATGACAACCACAAAAAAATCACACAATTGCATGGTCATGATAGCGGGTTATGCATTTAGCGTTTAGCGGATAGTGGGTTATGATAACAAGTTGTCAATATTGAATTCAATCAGCGGGTCGACTGGCGGAATAAGTTGGCAGATTGCCAAATGATGTTTGATAATTTAACTGTTTGGCATAAAAATTAGTTGAAAACACCATATTTCAAAACGCTAACCCAAAACTCTCTTATTTGCACCGTTTCCATTTCAGCGGTTCCTTCCAAAAATGCTAGGGGCGAACAGCTCTTTACCAAACAACGTTTTGATTATTAAAAACCCTAAAAGTGGTCAAACAGTGATTTTTTGCTGAAACACCATTTTCCGAACACCCCATTATCAAAAAGAATTGGCTCAATGCATACACACGTTAAAAAAACTAGTGACTCGAAACAACAGTCACTACATTTGTGTAACATGTTTTTATCATCACTGATTTCAATATAGACCTATCTTATGGTATTCGGCTATACATGGCCCCTTAATTATAAATCCAAGGAACTTATCTCGGAGGGAGTATGGTTGTTGCACCTGGTGTGATATATGCATATCACACTTCAGAGACGAATAATCTTTCTACTGATATTTCAAAACAAGTGAATATAAGTTTTGTAATCTTAATGGAATCGATGGATGTTCTATAATTGAACATACAAATATTATTATCTCATAATGGTGGCAACTACTTGTTATCCAAACCCAATAATTGGAAACATATATCCAAACGAACATTATTGAGCATAGGAGTTAACCCTTGCCTATTCTCTAGAGGAAGTTCCTTTGGAAAGATCCAGAAGAAAACCTGGAAGTCAAACCTTGTGCCATATTTTCAGCATCAAGCTTGACACTTTGCCTTCCGGCAGTCAAATCCTTTTCACGGTCCCAAGGTTTCCACGGATGTTTTCCTTCCCACTCCTCTTTCTCCTGCTTTGCTGTTTTCTTAGACTTGGTGGAGTTGGATGACTTGCTCCGACCCAGATCTTGATGCTTTTCTACCAAAGATTTTGATCGCTTAGCCTTGTTGTACTGGTCTACAAGCTCTGCATCTGCCCTTTGCCTTATATTATCCTCTTCTTTAGAAGCAAGTGCAGTAGCCTCATTGTAGGCTTCTAAATAACTGCAATGTGTAAATATATTTACATATTTATTGGGTGTTAAAAAAATATCATCTAGAATAGAAAATAGCAAGTTAAGCTCACTTCATTTTCGCTTTCAGTGCTCTCTCTGAAGGGGTGTCTGTCCAGGCGCTAGTATCGCCACGTCCGTCCTTGGAACTCTTGCTAAACTTTGTTGATTGCATTGTTACCCCAGGCTAAAGAAAAAAAATGAAACATAAAAGTGCATTTCTCAGTATGCAGTCTTTCCAGAATTAAAAAAAATGCAGAAAAAAATTGTATTATTAAATGGACAAATATCGCTATAATTCAGAAGATTTATGTAATAGTGCTCGCTTTATTTTCAGTTCCTATTCCAATAAAAGACTTAAGTAGGAGTACCCCTTACTTTTCTTTCAGGGGGGAGGGTTGTCATCCATTCATCCCTTTTGGGTGCTGCTTTTACCTCTTCCGCTAACAATATATCGTCGCCCTCCATGGATATACCTGGCATCCAGCAGCTGTCAGTTTTTCACCAATATCCTTATTAAGTAAAGAAATAAAGTAATATCATAAATGAAATTTGTGACAACTATCCTTCCACATGACTTTCGTTATCAAAAAATGCTTGGGTAGGGATTCCAATCTTGGATTAGGTCAGCAAGGATTCATACTATTCAATTTATTAACATGTTTGAATGATAAGTACATCCATTATACAACAACAACATCCAAGCCTTAATTCATCTTGGGTGAACGATAACTTAATGCCAATAAGCAAATACAAACTAATGTCTTTTCAATGAGACTACAGGAGTGGCATATGCTAGATTCTTGTAAACTATATCATTGCATAGTTCACAGCACACAATACCATACAACAGTATTGACTCAATGATTAGGCAACAGATGAAGAAACTTGTGTGTTCTACTTCCAAGATTGAAAATAGATCACGCTCTATTCTCTACTAGACAACAACTAACATAAGCAAAAGAGAAGAATACGTGTAAATTATTAACCTTGCAAACGTCTCCACTGAGCAGCTTCACGCATAGCTCGCAAATCTGCCTACAGAATAGAAACACGTGTAAACATAATTATAGTGGCAAAAAAGTTAAGGATGTCTCTTCCAGATGTACAGAAAGAAAACTATACCTTCATTTCCTCTTGTTCCTCCTTGATCTTGATTTTTTCATCCAATATTTTCCTCTAAATGAGATAACATTTTCAAGAAAAACATCAAGATAGTAAATATACATGCATGCTGAATATGAACACAAAAAACTGAAGTCAGGAGGAAACATATCATAATTTCACAACTTACGAGTTTAGACAGGTAGATACCATGCTAGTGAATTAATGCTAGAAATAGTCCCACAACTTTAGTGCTTCTGTGTTTCTAATTTTTATCTTCAAGACTTCCCCTATAAACTTGACCCAAAGAAATAGTTTTGATTTTGTAATAATTATAGTCTTGAATAAATAAAAAGTTAATTAAATGATAAATATAAGGGTAAACATGTAAATCAAACCATTCATGCCTTGAAATCTCAAGTCGTTGATTTATGTTCTTTTGTGCACTCGAAGAGGGAGGTCAATTAGTAGGCTAACAGTCTATAACTCAATTTCACATGGTTTGAGTTTACATGTTTGTCCATCACCATAATGTCTGATTGGATATTTCATAATAGAGGACAAAATCAACAGTAGGATCATTGTTTTGGTTAATTTTACATCAAGAATGATATTACCAATAGTTGGGGACCACTTTTGGTGTTGACTCCCATAACATTGATATATAAACTTAAGGCCACAGGCAAGGTTTTGAAAATTGAAAGGCGAAACCGGGCCCCGAGCGTTCGGTGGTAGCCTCACAGGCATAAAGAGGCGTAAGCCTTGAACTTTATTGCTTAAGTGTGGCTACAACATATCGGATAATATAGATTATTAATAATAATAGTGCAGCTACACAAAACCACAGATATACAAGACGCACTCACCTTATCAGGATCTTGTAACTCTTTAAATGCTTTGTTTAGTTTAACAAATGCTTGCTGAGCTTGAGGATGAGAACATTTATCTGGATGCACCATAAGAGACAACTTCCAGTACCTTAGTCAAGAAACCCACACAGTATCAGCCCATCCACATTTTTTATTGAAAAGAAACTAAATCATTATTACTATGATGATTATTACTAGTAAATTAAAGAAAAAGGTGCAAAACACATTTTGTTATAATGACGAAAACAACAACATTGTTATTACTACTACAACAATAACATTCAGGCCTTATTCCTAAAAGAGTTTGGGGTGGCTAACATGAATTGACATATGATATCATAGTTAAAAAAACATTAGCGAAAGAGAGAGGGACACAACAATAACGGATCAATCCTCCACACTTTGGTCTCCCTCCATTTAACCATCTTCAAGGTCATACTCCCAAATTCCCAATTAGTCCAAGTAGTATCATACTCCCTCCGTCCCGCTAGGATTGTCCCAGACACTATTCACTTAGTCAACACAAATCACTCTTAATTTCTTACTTAATATATCAATTTTTTTATCATATTTGATTCAGGTTTTTGCGACTTTGTAACGCTTTTAATGTAGTTTCAGAATATGTAATTTTTTTCTAAATATAATTTGAGAGCGGACAGGGATCTGTTAGCTTTATCATCGGTCAAGCATCGTAAACCGAATTGTCCCAATCTTAGTGGGACAGAGGGACGAGGGAGTATCATTTTTACCACCCAAATCTACGACTTTACTTGGCAAAAACAAAGAGCTTCCCACTGAACTGTCATTTAAATAGTAGTCTGGCACTGGTGTATCCTAAATATTTATTATGTGCATGACATAACCAAGAACACAGCATGCAATTAGATATCAAGAATTAACATTCTAGAACAGTGTAAAAAATTACCTCTTCTTCATATTTTCACTTGCCATTTTTCTGTTCATTCCCAAAACATCGTAGGCATTGTCTGCCTCAACTCCCATAATTCTAGTAATCTGACAAAAGAAAAGCTAATAAAAAATCTGCAAACACCCAGCATGCAATATACAGATACAACATTGCAAAAAGAATTTAAAATCTAATGCATATATTATAATTTCATAATGTTGATAATTAGCTTATGGAGCATATGAATACCTAGATGAACACGTGTTAAAGCCTTTGAACTTAGCATGTTGGCTCTATTGAATCCCTCAGCTTCTATATAGGCCTAATAAACATGTCATGTGCAAACCTAAGCCTCATTGAGACCCTTATTTTATTTACCTAGATTTTGTAAGCGCAAAGAATAAAGGGACATTTTGTTGTCATGTATCAACAACAACAACATCCAAGCCTTATTCCCAAAAGATTTTGTTGTCATGTATAATGTATCACATATGAATAAATACATGAATACCCAAAAAAACTTGCTGTCTAGTGAGGGCTAGTAGGTTTCTCATGATGAAAGAACCAAGGATCATAAAGCTTTTTGGATTCCTGAAATGGATTATATGCATAATAAGTGCATAACAGCCAAATAGCCCGACGCCCAAGATACTGTGCGTTCACAACAAATTAGACAAAAATTGGGGGACTCAATGAAGAATAAGTTTGCCCCAAGCGTGCTCAAAAGATCCTGTTAGAACTTCGGAGGCTCAATAGAGCCAACGTGCAAAGTTCACAGGCTTAAAATATATTTCACATTAAAACAACGACTAAGGCATCTGCCAGCATGCCATGATAAACCAGCATATAATAGCATTCCAACAAATACACACTACTCATAAAATACTATTGAGTGAAAAGTGTTTTACCCTATTAGAAGCATAATTTATTCAATTCATTTTAGAAGTGTCAACTGTCAAATGGATCATTAAAATTTTAACTAAGTTGCGATTAATCAAATGAAAAACGTAAAGTTGCCCTACATTCCAAAAACAAATACACAATATTTACAATGCAATATTTTTTGTTAATAGACTAATCTTTTACATTTGCTTATCGTAGTATACTTGTTGTGTTATTTATGTGGTAATACCACTTTTATGGTATTCAAGAATCAAGATAATTGAATGCTGCTAAATAATACTCCATTCGTCCCATTTTACCTGTCCTACTTTCCTTTTTGGGTTGCCCCAAAGTAAGTGTCACATTTCCTTTTTTGGAAAAAAATATGTGGTCTATAGCATTTCACATTATTATACTCAAATCTCAACCACAACTTTACTTTTTCAACCACTTTATTAATAAGTGTGTCAAACCAAAGTAGGACACGTAAAATGAGACGAGGGTAGTAACATATGCAAAGTACAGACATGCAAATGTACCAATACACACACATTCAACAAAGTATCATAGAATATCATATAAATAATAGGCCCACCACACCATCATCTAATATACAAAGAAAGGTTAAAAAAGAACATGCTAGAGTGTTTCATGATTTTCTTTGGGGAAAAGTAGATTCGAGTTTGGTCCATAAAAATTAACGCCTCCACTAAATGGAGGAACAAACACCATGTTGCATTAAACTGGAGGACTAGATGGTGAAACTTATAACTTAGGGATTCGGCCTACCATTTAATTATAATTTATGCACTAAAGCATAATATTCAGATGGAAATGTGTACAAGATTCTAAGTATGTAATATACGCATCAGGCCTACGACCTGCCTGTTTATCTTAGTAGTATGCTACATATACGTTATGCTCCCAACTCTAAGATTTTCATACAAGACACAAGACCTGTAAATATGCTGCAGCAAAGAAATCTGCTCCAAGTCTCAAAAAGTTGAACTGAAAAATATTACATGACCCTTCCAGAGTTGCAAGGAAGAAAAACTACAACATAGAATGCAGAAAAGTAAACACCTCTTTTGAAAAGGCCCATAAATTTTCAAAAGAAGACTAGAAGTTTTTTTCAACAACTAAACTAAGATTGGCTACTAAGTAAAATAAGGTAAAATGAAGAGAATACACAGGATATGCCTACTACAACGACATCCAAGCCTTAGTTGCAAAAGATTTTGGGGTCCGCTAACATGAATCGATACATGATATCGGAGCAAAAAGAAAAGAAAGATAAAAGGATAAGGTAAGATAAAAAGGATAAATAAATATAAGATAAAGATAAAAATGATAAGATAAAATGATAAGATAAAAAGGGTAAAAAGAATATACATATATATATAAATAAAAAGGATAAATTGATAAAGAACATAAGAAAGAAGATAAAAAGATATAAGAAAAATGAGATAAAAATAGATCAACCCTCCCCACGTAAATATTCCTACTTCAAAAAATATAAAATACTTTATTTGACACTGGCAAGAGAGATATTGAAAGAACCTCTTCAAAACGCTCTGCTTCATTGGCAGACTCTGCCTCAGTGACCAATGCAGGAGGTGGAGGTCCGATAAACAGTCCACAGTCTTCGCCCAACTCAGCCTCCCTAGATAAGTATAGCATGGAAAATCAGATATAATAGTTACTTAGTACATTACACATTATTATGAGCTTTCAAAAGCATTAGATATGTGTGGAGAGAGTGGCTTTAAGCCAATAGACCAGCAGCATTGTGGCTTAAACTGAAGTTCTGCGCAGAAAATAAGGAATAATAAATTAAACATCCCAAACTTCAGAGATGTGGGAGCTGAATGCCCAAATTTGCATGTGTAAAATAAATATCATAAGTTTTACTTTATAGGTGATCTCTGTACCTTGAACTCAAATTACAAATTTTCCAAGTGAAAGCCTAAGATGCTAAGTGCACCCTCCTAAATGTTCGTAGTACTTAAATTATGCTCTCAATACTGTAAAAATGAGAAGACATGTGTCTATGGTGCTAACGTAACCTTCGATTTTAGCTTATTTGTTTGTAAAACCAAATTTAGCATACTTAACTTGTTTGGAAAGATTACATCAAATTCAATGAACATTAGCTTTTTTATGAAATAACTCTTTTTTAGACAAATATAAGTTTTGAAACAAGACTCTTTTTGGGATGGAAGGAGCATAAAGTTGCAACAAAATCCGATCACTAAATTAAGATTACAAGCAGTTCATGCTATTTGGCCTTGCATTAGATCTCTTGTATCACCTAGAGGATAGCATGAGCACCCTTCAGCATACCAATTGGAATTTGGAATTCAACGGAAAAGGCATACTTTAACAATTATTCCATATTCTATGATATCCCATATGAAAACATACTTATAAAGTTAGTCCTTATCATTAAGGAGAAGTGAGAAAAGATATGAACCAATCAGACATAGAAACGTGGGCACGGCATAAACCTCAGCTCCTCTTGTGCTTCTGTTAGTTTAGCCGCGGCAGCGAGTAATTCTGCAGATGGCATTGATGGACCAATCATCCTGAACAAGTTGGGAAAGAATAAATGCAAGTAATGATAACATTGCTTGGCATAAAAAAGAAACTCTCCAAAACGAACAGTGTTATGACTATTTAAATACATTTCATTCAGACAACCAATCCTTCAAACTTCAAATGTTGTGTATAAAGCCAAATATTGCTAAATCTGCTGAAATGATGAGAGAATATACATTCTTCCAACTTTCAAGAGAATACAAGCAATATGGTTACCTCTTTCTTGGACCAGTGGTTTGTTCATTTGGTAGACATAAATTAGCATCATAAGAGCCAGTGTCTTCATTTGGAAAACTCATGTTCCCATTATAGGTACCCTGTTTATAATCCGCATCTGGTGACTTTGAATGTTTATCCATCTGCATCACAGAAGTATCAAGATGATGATTTTGCTGCTGTGTGTGGAGCTTAATTGTTGATCCTACACGTTCTAGCGTAGGGCGCGCCTTTGATGGTAGTAGAAAAACAAGATCAGCTTTTTCCCTAAGCTTTAAGGCTAGAAACAGCTTCCTCAAACGTTTGACCAGAAGCTTTTCAGATAAACCACTTATGTCAACAGCTTGTCCATCGTCAATCATCATCAATAGCTGTGTATTCCAAATTTAAAACATATTATCAGTTCCAACTTGATGTATACACTTGGATAAATTGACTTAGCAAGCAAAAACTTGCAAAAGAAAAGTTCCAATTTGTTGTGAGCCCCATTAACCGTGTAGAACCTTGATTAAGAAAGGGACTCTTTTGAGCGTTTTCATTCTATTTTGGATATAAAACACTTGTTTGTTCTTGCTGTTGATATGATCAAGTGATCAACTGCCTTTAACCATTTTGAAAATGAAATTTCCTAGTTTAGCATCATTCTCTATTTTGCAAAGTGAGTCTCATGAATGAAACCTCTGTAAACTCACGCATCCATTTCTCACAGCAGCAATCAATGCCAGGTCAATGTAAATAGCACATTCTGCAAAACTCGCAGCTGTCTTGATTGTTTATTTTAATCAGTTTACCTCTTTTTCCAGTTCCATATATTGTGGCAACTTACTTCTAGATGCTTGATTTAGGTGCAAAACAATATTCATCTATGCAATTTATGCTTATTGAACAGCCCATGGATATACTTGAATTTAACAGCCAGCATCCTGCTTTTCTTTCTTTTATTCATTTCTTGGACATCTTCAGTTGAAAACAATGGAGTTCATATTATTTAAATACAGGCGTTCGTCTACAACTTGTGCTCAAGAATGGCCTAAATCTTCTGAATAAATGGAAAGAAGATTAAAATATAATTTCTGAATATGCAACAAAAATTTCAAAAATGTTTACTTGATGCATATAACTTAACATTCCAGATAAAAGAATTTGAAGAAAAGAACATACCTGCTCCAACTCACCAGCTACACCAGGGAACTCTTTCAAAAGCATGTTGATGACATCATTGAGGTCCTCCCTTGAGTCCTCCTCCTCATCGGCTGAACTGGTGGAATCAGAATCCGACTCGTCCGAATCCGAATACTTTGCTTTTGATTTCCGACTGCTACTCTTCACGCTACTATGTCTTCGTTTACTCGAATCCTTTTTGTGTCTCCTTTTTCTCTCTTTCCCCTTCTCCTTGTCTCTTCTCGAAGACACCTTACGTCTCTCATCACGCCGCCGATCCCGTCTACGTCTGTGCCGGTCGATTTCTGAGTCAGACGATTCTGATGAAGTTTGTGATGATGAAGAAGTTGGCGTATCATCCTCTTGCCTGCGCTTCTTCTTTCTGTTCGAATGGTCCCCCATGGTTCCGGAGACGTTTGTTGCTTGGTGCAGCGTTGGTCGATTGACTACTGGTAATGGCAACGCCGGGTAACTATCTTTTTCCAGAAATTGACATTTTTTTTGCTAATCTAGACTGAATGCCGGACTGCATCTGATACAGACTGTCTGAAGCTTGCCGCATGGGCAGCTGTTGGGGTAGAAAAATGGCTGTTGGATCAGTTTCAACGTTTTGAATAACTAAAAAAGATCTTTGATAAATAGTGGTAAAATGTTGAAATGAATACACTATTAATAAGAGATTTTTGAATTAGTGTTTTGAAAAGTGACATTTTTTATAAATTTTATGGTTTAAAGGCTTAATTAATAAACATTTTCTAACAACTCGTCAATATTATTCCGTTAGTCAAACTCGCCGACTGAATCCGCTATTTAACCTGCTAACATAACCCGTTATCCGTTAACCGCTAATCGTTGTCAAAATTTGGAAAATGATCCAACGTATAATGGGATTTTTTCACAAATAGGCTAAAAAACAAAAATAATATCAATTTTGTCACTTTCTATTTTTTCTTTCAAAAATAGACTAAGCGGAGATTTCTTTTCAAAAATAGACTAAGCCCCCCGATGCCTTACGAAGTTACCGACCTTAACTATATACGGAGTACGTAAAATAGACTTTACTTTCCACAATTCCACATGAAGCACACCTAAGTTAGTGGATTCAATTGACACGTAAGATTGAAATCTTTACTTTTTCACAATAGAATGTGCAGGACCTATTGTTTTTTATTTGTAAAGAGGAAAACGTAAAAATTCTAAAATATGGTAATGCTTATACAACAATAAAATACTTCAAATCAAATTTAGTTTCAAAAATAATAAAAAACTAAAAAAACAATAAAAAAAGATAATTTGGAAACTTGCAAATTAAACTTATTGAAAATGAATTGAATTTAAAAACAAATCCGAAAAAATAAAAAAACATACAAAAAACTTAAAAAAACGTGAATAAAAGAAATAAAAAGTTTGAAGATATGGGAAATTGTAAGAAGGTTAAAAGTTTGATTTATGTATTGTATCTTTATTAAATAGTTAATATAATTTAGATACAAAAAATAAAAAAATTGAAATTTTCCTAAAAAGTATAAACAGGTTAAAAATTTAAAAAAAAATATAAAATGAAAAGTATATACTATGAAAAATATTTCAAAGAAGAAAAAAAATGTTTTTAAACGGTTTAATAACATGAAAAGTCATAGAAACTTTTAATAAAAAGTAATTGTTTTGAAAAAAAATGAAAAAATATTATATTGAAAAAAAATCAAGTAAATATAAAAAAATTGTAAACGCCAAACAAAATCACAAAACATATAAAAATGTGTGGAAAAAAGAAAAAAAAAAAGAAAATAAGTTATATGTTTAAATTAATAAGTGAAAATAAACTAAAGTCTAAAACTCGTGTAAATTAAAGAAATAAAAAATGAAAATGTGAAAAATTACCAAAATATTAAAAAAATCGAAAAAAACTAAAAATTTTAAATATATAATTTTTTTATTAATGTAAAATTTTAAAAATAGATACACAATTTAATTATTATTGTTTTTAGCATATTGTTTATTTGTGTTTCTCTTTGTTGATAGCTTTAAGTATTTTTGTTTTTTATTGTTTCTTCATGTTTCTTTTTGTTTATTCATAAATCTAATTTTATCATCTTAGGTGTTTTTATATATAGCTATATCTGATATTCTGATTCCAAATCATTAATGAATATGAATGCAAATGTAAATAGACACAAAAATCAAAATCATTAATAAAGAACAATAAGCAACATCATACAACAAAATGACCTCTGATGCAACAAAATGCAACGCGATGCAACAAAAAGCAACACGATGCAACAAAAAGCAACACATGCGATGCAACAAAGAGAAACAAAAACAACATATATGTATAACTCAATCTGTTATTACATTGTACTCCGTATTACATTTATCTATTACTAGTATATCTTTTGCTTTTGGTTCTCCTCACTTCTCTTGCACCTTGACATACAAACTATCCAATTTGTCTCCTCTATCTTAATTTTCCTTGTCAATCTTCTCATCCTTAAATCTTCGTGTACTTTTTTATTATGTGCCTGCAACGGGAAATGCAATCACTATAATGCAAATTCCGATTTGAATAAATTATTACAAGGAACCAATAAACCTATATAACAGGTGCAGAAAAAGATACCTACAACTAGATTATAATAAAACAAGAAAAAAAGAATGAAATTGAAATTTAACTCAAGCATTATGTGAATAACTAATGAAGAGACTGTTGGCAACACGATCATAATTTGTATCTTAAATACTTGTAAAGTCAGAATAAAGCACTTGCAAAGAAAGAAGAATAGTGCAACAACGGAAGCAAATTTACCTTACCAAAGCTCGGCCGCTCCATCATACCAGGCCATCACTAGCAATTTGAGCAAATTTCATCTTCAAATAAGCAAAGAATCATAAATACACAAAAGCTTCCTATAATGAAACAACAAACCACAAAACATTTAGCAAGAAAATGAATAAAAGATTAATAGACCTTGCCATCCACTTCTCTTACAAGACACAGAAGTTTTCCAAGTAATTGATGATGAATTTTTACCTTTTTCTTAAACTAAGAACGAAGTGTTATATGGTAAAAAAAACTCTCTACAAAGTACAAACAATGTTTAAACATCTCAAAGCATCTGCTAACTAATAAAAAAAAATAGCCAAATAGGGTTGAAGGAATAAAACCAACTGCAAAGCAATGTTCTCCATGTGTGTAATATAGTTGATCTGAGACTAGTTGAGCAGAAGCACAAGCCACTTGTACCTCTTGAACCATTTTGTGCTCCAAACAGATCATATGTTCTTGAACTCTCTGGATCAGTGCTACTACAAATAGTAGGTAATTAGCAAAGAACTAAAGATGTACAATCTAAAGCAAATGAGTCAACATAATCTTGTTCGAGTAGCGGAGTAGGCATAACTTTATCTCAAAGAAATTATAGAAGACTGAAAGCAAATAATCAATTTTAGTCACTAGTTAAATTGTCTTATTGGTTTGGAGATTGGTCAAGAAAAAGCAAGTCACAAGGCGATTTAAAGCAACTTCAGCCAAAAGGCAAACAACATTTATAGAATGCATATACAAAAGACCAGCTATATTAAATAGAAAAATAGAAGGTAATTAAGCAGGTAAGTCTGACTTAGAACTTAGATGGTAGAAAAGTTAAGATTTGACTTACAAAATGTAACCGGTAATCTTTATTAGTGACAAAAGGGTTATTTAATTTATATATTTCAGCATAATGTTTAACCTTACAAAGTATGGCCATTTTGAAGAGTAGCATACCCTGTAATACTTAGCTACTTTTGTAAATCAGATCCCATAATGAAGGTGACTTTTGTAAATTAGATTTCAGTTTTGTATTAATTCTTTGTTTGCTATTGTTTCCCGGTGTTTATTTTTGTTGCACTGTGTTACAATTAAGGCAGTACCCTACATCAATTAAGAAAGATCATTACAATCATTATAAATATCGATCAGCAAATTGAAGAAACTCAATTACAATACAAATATTAACAAAATCAAGCAACTCAGTGTATACCTTTTCATATGGAAGAGCAGCATATCATGTAATACTTAGTGCCTGCAAAGTTATTTTTTAAAATTAAAGAGAGGATAGGAATAAGATAGAATAAGCTAGCACAATTGCAGATGAGAAATTCTAATACCTTTCTATCAATGCACTCTGAGCAATCGTAGAGGGACACGTGATTTCCGAGCTTTGAATGAATGAAATGTGAGGGATACCATAATATACAATAATTCGAAAAGCAAAAATACTCCAATCTGAAATTCATGTGTGTTCATGTGGTGTGGAGATCTTAAATTTGCAAGCCAATTATTTAAACAATAAAGCAAAAAGTAAAATTAAACTGAATCGGAAACCAGAAATAAATCTTAACTATATGAATTATAACAACAATTACAGTGAAGGTAAAGTTCTCAGAATTCACACATACATGCAAATTAGAGGAGCAACTGAGCAGGCAAGGGGGAGCCGCCGGCCGCGGAGTCCACAGATCGGAGAGTGGAGATGCCGCTAGGGGAGGGGAACAACGGCAACGTCTCTAACTTTTGTAATCAGCGCTTCAAATCGATTCGCTGTGAGGCCGCCAGGATGGATGAACAAGGAGCACGGAGCTGTGGAGGATGGATGAACAAAGATGGCGGAGCTGCGGAGCTGCGGAGGATGAAGGCGATATCGGAGAAGGGTGGGAAGAGAACAACCGCATGGTCTCTCTCCTGGAGTGTGATATGTCGAGGAATGAGGATGGATGAATCGATCTTGGACTTTTGATTTAAAACTAAGTTAGGTTATTTTTGAAATTAAAAAATAAAATTGAAAACTCAAAAGTCTTTAAATGAAAAAGGAATCATCGGGTGACATAAATGAAATGGGACTACAAAAAGTGGACTAAACGGGATATTTCCACACGTATAATCCTGCTGGCCCCAACCTAGAGCAACCTCTCAAAGCAGCCCAGGGAAACCTCTTAACACGAGGGCTTTGATATGGTGTGACTTGTGAGCAGGGGTGGGTAGGTAGGGGTGGACAAAAGACCGAGTATATTGGAAGCGTATACCATACAGCCAGCTGTACGGCTGGGCACCGTACAGCCGGGGGCAATTTTGTAATTCTGATGAAGTTCACGATTTCTCTTAAATGAGTATTGATGTAATTTAAATGAGCATCGACTCTGTTCTTCTGAGTAATAGCAGCCTAACAATGAGCACTAGTGATCTCTGCTTCATATCTTCTAATTTGGTTTATTTTTACAATTTTTCGTTTATAAAATCTTCTTAAATTATGTTTATAATTAATTTCAATGTGAATGTAATGTAATATGATATGTTTGATATGTGCATCATTTTAAAATGAGCATAAACCAGTACGAAATGAGCATACATGATTCACAAAATGAGTATAAGAAAATTCAAAAACTCATTTGTGTATGCTCATTAATTTTGGGCGTTATATTTGATATGTGAAACCTTTTAAAATGAGTATAAAACGGTACCACATGAGCATAAATTACTTACAATATGAGTATAAAAAAATTAAAAACACATTTGTGTGTTCATTCATTTTGGGCATTATACTCATTTAAGTTTAACATAAAACTCATTTCTAATTTGTTCAATATTCATT